GAACTTCTGACCTAGCAGTCCAGGCATTAACCCACAGCACCACACCAGGAGCTGTTGTCACTGCCATTAAGTCAACTCCAACTCACAAGGCAACCTGTGTGCACACCAAAATGAAAGGTTGGCTGGTCCCGAATCATCCTCACAGGCACCAGCAGGTTTGAGTCTGTCAGTGTGGCCACTGCACCAGCTCATCTCACCAAGGGTTACCCTTGCCCTGGATGTGCTTCTGATGAAATGCCCAAAGTTAAGTGATGCTCACAGTGCTCGGTTGTTATCTAAAATGTCTCCATAGACTACTTTTCAGAAGTAGATCACCAGGCCTTTCTTCCAAGCTCTGTTGAACCCTGTGCACCTTGGATGACCTTGCTGGTATTGGAAATATCGCTGGCTTAGCTTCCAGCAACACAGCCAATGGAAAGCATCACCATATGACAAACTGACAGGTGGGTGGTGAGGAAATACACATAACTGCCCCGATTTCTTTTAGGTAACAAAGAGGCAGTTCCTGTGTGGAGTCTCCATCCAGAAAGCATGTCAGATCAAACAAATGCACAAACAAAACAATCACCATAACAACAACTTGCTATCGGGACCAAAGTAATTTTTGCAATGTCTGTTGAATCCAGTCTGTTCAGAAGTGGCCAAAAACCGCTTTAAATAACATTTTGTAGCCAAGAAGTATATACCTAATTTTTGTTTAGTGAGTAAATGAAATGAAAGGTGGGGCCCACGAGATTACAGATTAAAGAAAGCTATTTACTGAAGGCTGATGGGATGGCACAGGGGTCTGTCCTCTGGGGTGGCAGTATTGTCTTCACAGCAGGAGACTGAGCACTGCCTCTGGTGGGTTGCAGGATTATGATTCCTTTAACTGAGTTGCTAGGTGGCTCAAGCAGTTTGCAAAGCAGTTTGAGCCCACCCAGAGACTCCTTAGGTGATCTGTTTGCATAAAGATTATAGCCAAGAAAACTTTCTGGAGTGACCATGAATTGGAAATGACATCAACACGTTTGTTTTTTTGGTGAGTTTTCACATGCAAAACTGAGGGGGAAAAATCTTCCTGTGAGGACAAAATATGATGACATGCAAAAAGCACTTTTTGGTATATCTATAAACAGCTGTTGCTATCATTATGACAGGGAAGAGACAGGGTCAGAAACGAGAGGGTCCTGAGCAATTTAGGGCGGAAAGAAAGGGAAATTATGAGGTATAGTCGCTCTTGAGATTGTTGCTGTCAGAATTAAGAAGAAATCTTGAACACATACTTCTCAGAACATAGTGGGAAAAGTTTATGAATCTAGAATTTTAATCACAAAGTACTCAAATGCAAAAACAGGAGTTAAGAAAGCGTTTTAAAAAAAGTAACAAAACTAGTAAAATGTGGAGTTAAGTTTAAGTAACTGTTCACAACATGGTTAAGTTTAATTAACAATGATTATTGAAATATGCAACATAAGTAATGTAAAAAACAATCTGAAACTGGAAAAATTGGGGTCGATTCCTAAATTCCAAATGGATCCAAGAAATTAATACTAACAGAAGAAGAAACTCTTGGCGCTGTAGGATAAGCACTGGACCGCAAGGTTAGCTTCAAATGCAAGGTCAGCAGTTCAAATCCATTAGCCATGCCTGAGGAACCCTGTACAGTGTCACTATGAGTCGAAAACAACTTGACTTTGACGGCACTAAACAACAGCAAGGTGACATGTAATAGCATTCTTCATGGATGTCACATGAATTTACATGATACCAATAATGAGGAGTCCTGGTGTGACACTGTGGGTTAATGTGTCAGACTGCAAAGCTGTTTGAACTGCAAAGTCGGTGGTTCAAGCTCACCAGCTGCTCCTCGGAAGCCCTATACAGGGTCACTATGAGTCGGAACCGACTCGATGGCACTTAACAACAACAACAACAATAATGAGGTTAGGTACATTATCATGTGTATATTGATGATTTGGAGTCCTGGTATGGCTCTGTAGGATAAGCACTGGACTGAAAGGTCAAGTTGAACCATAAGGTCAGTGGTTCAACCTCAGAAGCTGCTCCTTGGAAACCCTATAGATGGTAGCTATGTGTCGACGTCACTTAATAACAACATTGACTATTTGTAGATTATCTTTTGCCAATAAGTCTTTTCCCTTTTATTTTCTATTTATGTCTTAGTAATTTGGAGGTATTCTTCAAATGTTCTAGATATAAATGCTTCATCCTATACATGTGTCACAGATGAGTTCTCCCAACTGTGGCTTGCTTTTGCATTATTTTATTAAGATCTTCTATTAAATTGCTGTTGTTGTTAGGTGCCATCGAGTTGGTACCGACTCATAGCAACCTTATGCACAGCAGAACGAAACACTGCCCGATCCTGGGCCAACCTCACTATTGTTGCCACGCTTGAGTTCATTGATGCTGCTACTTGGCCAATCCATCTCGTTAGGGGTCTTCCTTTTTTTCTCTGACCCTTCACCTAACCTTAGTGTGATTTGTCTTTCAATGTTCTCCTTTACGGTTGGTGCTTTATGGGTTTGTTAAAAGTCTTTACCCCAAAGTTCTGAAGATATGCTATCTTCAAGAAGCTGTGTTTTGCCTTTCATACTTAAAACTATGATCCATACCTAATTAATTTTTGTGTGTGGTGTGAGATCATTTTTCTCATATGGGTATCCAATTGAGCCATCACCATCTACCGAAATGTTAACCTCTTCTTCATAGCACTACAAAATATA